GGAAAGGGCTGTCTGCCCTCCCTGCAACTCTAGCTTCGTCATTTCCTTACCCTGCAACTTCATGATCACTAGAAGCAATATGAGTAAGTTGAATTATCTCATTGATCTGCCTGAAAGCAAACTTGCCAAATCAAGAGTCTGGCAGGTTGTTTCACTCACTAGAGAGTGGTGTGTCTGTGAAGTAGCCTTTCTAATTTTTTACACCTAAGATCTGTTCTTATGAAATACCCAACAGACCCCAAAAGGCCAAACAGACAAACCCACCACACCACCATCCAACAAACCCTCAACCTTCCGTATTTACATAATTCTGCGGTCAAATTGCAGTTGGTAGCAGAGAATCTTCTCCAGTTTTTCTTCATGTATTTTTTTAAGCAGGGTGGAAGGGTACCTTTGCAATTAAGACTGCTAAATGTGGAATCATTTTCATACCATGAGGTGCTAGCTTCATCTTGCTTACAAGTACTTTCATCTCGTAGATTTTTCCAAATAAATCTGTTACTGTGTGTCACATTCTCAGGTAATGCTGATGAGCATCTGTAAAAATTCTGAGTAAAATACTGCATAAAAAATTTATATGTAGGTTGATAATGAATAATATACCATATGCTAGCTTCATCATAACAATGATTTTTTCTTTTTGTATAACTAATGTTGGTAACTGGTGTTAAAACAAGTGCTCTGTGCAGCTAAAAATGAATTAGGGTACTGTTCAGATCTGTGATGCATTTTTTGTTGCAAATATACAATTTATGCTGTTGAATTTCCATGGCAAGAGTTGGAATGAGATGATCTTTAAGGTCTCTTCCAACCTTAACCATTCTGTGTTAAGCTATGGTTCCCAACTCTCTAAAAACATGAATTTAAAAAGAAAAAAAAAGTATTACTTGCATAGCAAGGTCAAATTAAAGATGCATGCAACAGCAGCATTTGCTGTTATTCTTCTACATCTCAAATTAAATGTAGCACTGTATTAATGGGTGTTCCTTCTACCAAATCACTTATAACTATTAAAGCCTGGACGGTCATTTTATGGGGATGAATTATGTTGGGCTGTATAAGTCACTGTACCCCCAACAATCTTTATCAGCTTCCTACTAAGCTGAAAATACTGCAGAACAACAAATACCATAACTTACCTGTTACAAAGTTTTTTTCATTAGGGATGCTTTAGTAGTAGTATATAAATAGCATAGTGGTGGCATAATTTCAGTGTTTCAATAAGAGTTTTTACCGTTTTACCAATAATCTTTGCAGCTGCTCAGTCAGCCATGTCATCTGTGACAGCTGAATGCATTGAAGATGATAGTCTGAAAAGTTTTCTTCAGCTGCTTTCATGTTCAGGGCTACCATTAGATTTGCTGATTTCGTGATCTTTTCAGTACAGCTACAGTGAAAGTAGCCTGTGGTCTGTTTTAGTGTATATGATATGAAATCAAGTTTTCAGGACCACATGTGTGTTGTGATCTTAAAAGCAGAGCAGTACAACCCAACTTCTTTAATACTTCGTGGAAAAAAGTGAATCAAGAATTAATGTGCAATTGGCAACATTAATTCAGCTAATGGGACCTTTTATGATACAGTGCATGCCTGTTCCAGTGAGTGCTGCTCTGAATGGTAGCCACTTAACTGTCAAAATTTTGGCAGCAGCTCTAGAAAATCCTACAGAAATGTAAAGAAACTACCTCTCAGCTAATGAAGAAGAGGGTGCAGCCACTGAGCATCAAAAAGAATTTGCTATTGTAGCATATTAATGTCTTGCAGAATTTTAAGGTGTCATTCCATGAAACAGTCCTTCTATCCTACTGTCCAGTAATGTAGCATGGTCTGGAAGAGAGATATGTAGACTTTTCTTACATAGATAGAAACAACCGAGTAGTTGCTGGCCCTCTGATGCTTTGCTGTGATAAATAAGGTAAAAATCTATTCCACACAGAAACCATTTGTTTGTTTGGATGGTCCTTCTGTTTTTCCAGTAAGACCAATTCATTTTAAAAGCACCAAAAATGTAGCAGGCATCTCATTTCTATGAAAGCAAGATACCCCCAAATGTTTTTCAGTCAAACTTAAGATGAAAATTTTCCTGGTATAGACAGCAAACTAAATAGGAAAAGATTTGAAAGAGGATCTGGTAAGGCTAGCAGTTATGCAAATACTAGGATGAGTGATTTTTTCATAGCATACAAAATATTGAGTCAATTAGTTTCTTATTTTTCTTTCCAAGATGAGAGGTGTTAAAGAAATGTCAGTAATGTTTCTGAAATATATTCATTTCTTGAGGCACCTGTTAACGTGTGTGAATATACTTTAAATTTTATTTTATTTATCTCTGGATTTGGCAATTTTCTTATTTCCTTACAGAAGAAAAGGATATAAAATATCATCTGAGTTGGTTGGAACAGTTCCTTGTTTAGTGACTAGAGAGCTACTTTAGAGAGAAGCTGGCTGTAATTAGATGTAATTGTTGATACCTTCCCATAGCATTCCTCAAGTTGTAGTTGCAGTTGTAAGAAAAATTTCTTGACCTTGGGCTTTTTCTTAGGTTATTGTTGCCCCATTTTTTTCCTGGTCACTCACTGTGATCATACTGCTTCTGTCAGTTTTTTTATTCTGTCAGGTATTTTTTTATTGTGTTTTTTTAGTTGATCCACGGTGGGTACTTTAGAGATCTATGGAGTCTATAGAAACACTGAACCTGACAGGTGAAGATAAAGAGCTTACCTGACATGATGTCCTCTAGGAAACCACTGTAGAAAGACATATTGTGCTGCTGGTACCATGTACTCTGTATCAGCACAGCACTCTGAAGAGCTGGTGTGGTGGTATGCCCAGGTACAGTCCAGATACAAAGTGAACCACAGTGCTTCAGACTTACTCACTCCCTAGGGCAGCTGAACATGCAGATTTATATCCTAGGTTTGAAAATACTGCATCATTTCATTACAAAATAAATTATGTTTATTAGTGCAACTAATATTTTTCTATTTTGCCACAGCTCTTGAAGCTTTGGTAACTTGTGCTTCACTAAATTATATCCTTAATTTTGTAAATTCTTGCATAAGTGAATCTCTCAAAGAATTAATATTGCCAGTATTTGTTTTTTTCCCTCAAATATTCTAGTGGGGTTTTTTCCTAGCACATGAGAGAGCTGTAGAAGGCGTTATGAATAGAAGCTGAGCAATGTTTCACAGTGAGCAACATACAATCTGTGAAGTGTTGTTGTCTTATTTTGCTGTGTTATAAGTAATTTGGACTGTGAGGAAGTGAGAAGCTTAGTTCTGCCAGGAAAACAAAAATTCTAAGAGATTGAGAATGGTTTTCATCTGCTCTGAGGAGGGCAAAACCTCCTGAACAGCCTGGTTATGAAATTCCTCACGTATCAGTTGGTCATGGTCTCCTGTGGGCCTATGTGATCCTGTGGCCTGAAGATGGAGTTGGTTAGTTGGGGCTCCTTCAAACATTCTAATTCTGAGGAAAAAAGGCGTGTCCCTTATGCTGCAGCTGCCAGGATGGTGTATTAAATGGGAAACTGAGGGTTTATGTTGCATCCTCAGTGCAGCAGCAGGAGAATGTGCTTACGCTTATTAAGTCAGGATCTGTTAGGATAGCGTCCGAGCAATGCACTCGAAGGAGTGCACTTTCTTACTGGTACAGAAGTCTACCTCATGGACTCTTTTGCTTTCCAGGAGGGCTCATTAGGGTGAACTGTCCCTAGAACCATAGCTATTTAACTTGTTTTATAGGAAACTCATCGACTTGCTCTAAAAGAGAGTTTAGGATTGAAAGCACTTATGCAGTGTGGATGTTCAAGGTGACAGATTATTGCAATGAATTAGGAGCTCAGTTACTACTTGACAGAGCAGTCATTCCTACCTGTTGAGAATATGTTTTAGTAAAAGCTGAGAGACTCATTTTATGAGGCTATTTCTGAGGCTTATCGAAATCCCATGTTTCCAATATCAGATTGCTAATGAAGAACTGTTTAATTCAGTTATATTATCTTCCTTGAAAGCCATTGTGTGACCGAGTGGTTCCACTTGAATTACTTGAATTTTAAAAGTTTTAATTTTGTGAAGAAGCTCTGTTTCTTCTGTAGAGAACATGTAGCTTCAACAGTAGGGAAAAATCAGATGACAGAAGAGGTTTCTTGGCACAAGATTATAGCAGTTTCTAGTTTTCTGTTTGTGTTTGAGGAACTGTCATAAGGGAGCTGCATATGCTGTTTATAACAATAAGACAATAAGGGATTTAAATTTCGTTGCTTACCTATTCCAAAAGCTTAAGAAAACTGTATTTCTGAGAGAATATAAGATTGAGCAATTTGTTTATCTAGCATTGTGTTGTTAATACCCTTAACACTTCAGTCTTCGGACTTCATGGATTTTAGTCTGTATTAATCGAATTGCTTAACCTCACCCTACCCCTGACCACTAGGCACTGCCATGGGGTGTTATACTCAACCATTATCTGTTAGGAAAATATTGCACTAGTACTCACTTTATAGTTTCAGCATTTATTTTGACTGTGCTTAAGAGATCTTACTACATTTTTTTCCCTCAGAAACTGAGTTTTAACTGTTACAGCCCATGGCATCAGTTTATAAAGTGATGATTTTAAAGAAATCTAATGTAGTGGAACTTGGTCAATAATTACTTAAGTAAAGGATGCTATAAGGATTTTGAGAGAGAAAATTATTTTGTCAGAATTTGTTGGAATACTTTTTTAAGATAATTTTTATAGCTAGATAACATCCTTCTGGAAAGCAAACCTGATTCTCACGCTGTTTGTTTGGTTTGTTTGTGTGCTTTAATTAGAAGGAAGGGAGCATGAAATTATTGTGCTTTGGAACTGTTGATACAGCTTTTCACCCACTTTCTCTGAAAAAATACTAAAGTTATTTTAACGACTTCTACATAGTTCTGAGAATTAATGTTGTTCAACTGTTGTTGTTCAGTGTACGTTATAAGTGTATTTATGCCACCTCTGCATGTTTATTTCAGTGCCATGCGTGTACTGTTGTCCAAGTTACCACGACCATGGATTGTTGATGAGAAAAAAGATGATGGTTACACTGCCTTGCATCTGGCAGCTCTCAATAATCATGTGGAAGTGGCTGAACTTTTGGTGCATCAGGTAGGACTCTTTTCTCAGGAGGATTTAAATGTCAAGCTTTGGTTAACCATCTGATGTGAAAATAGTTTGCTGCTTTACACCTGCAGTTGCAATGCAGAACCAGTGGAGCAGGGAAGGACGTGTCGAGCTCTAAAGGTCAAACTTGCCTTTGAGATCGTTACAGTGGCCTAATGGTGCAGAGGGACTGAAAAACTTGATACCTCATTTCATTCAACAGATTAACATCTGTACAGTGAATAATTAAAGTATTTAATCACTTCTGCTCTCAAATCCTCTAACCAGGAATCATATTCAGGGTCATATTCAGTGCCCTAATCGCCTGCCTTGTCTGTAGATGAATTGCTGGGATGATAACATCCTAATGCTTTAAATATCTTTCAGGGCAATGCTAACCTGGATATCCAGAATGTTAATCAGCAAACTGCTCTGCACCTTGCCGTTGAACGACAGCACACACAAATTGTTAGGGTAAGTATCTTTTTGCAATAAACCATATGGTTAATGGTACTTGACTAAAGCCAATGGCAGCTGTTAAGACATGGATACTTCATGAACATTTTAAAAATTGTTTGACAGTATGTAGCTGTTGCATGTTTGTGTGATGCATTTTGTTTAATTCAGAAACCTGCCAACTTGCACAGAAGGTCAGTCAGCAATATGAATGACATTTCAAGAATGCTAAATTTTTGTACAGGTGCATTATGGTTTCCCTCTGTGCAGTTGCCAGTTCCAGCACCCCTCCTTGTTGAAAAAGATAGAATGTGTTCTGCTGTTACTTATCTGATTCTGTGGTGCTGTAATGGGACCTTCAAATAGCATTTTTGATGCCTCTTGGTGCGTGTGTAATTATTCTTGCTCAGAGTTTCTGCAAGTGGTAGCTAAAGAAAAAGTCTTTTTATGACCTTAACTACTTTTCTGTGTAAGAACATTCCCTTATTCTTAACTTGGGAGAGCCATGAGCAGTAACAGTGGTATCTTATTGGAGAAAGGAATGCTATCCTTGTTCTTTTGCTTGCATGGTTGCGAAAATTTATACTTAACTTTGTTACTGGCACAGGAAATGGGAGTCCGGCACAGCTTACCCTTTTCTGGCCTGTGTGCCCTGTCCATGGAAGGACCTGTGTGGCTCAGTGCTTGCCTTGCTAATGTGGGCTTTTGAGGCTCAGAGAGAGCACTCACTGCTGTAGGAGATGTTCCCTATGAATGGGTACATCAACCTTGCCTTGGCCCTTGCGTAATTTTTCTGTCTTTGCAGAGAGAGTCACCTTATATGAAAAACTGTTTCTTATTCAGGCCTACAGAGAATTGTACCCCCTCTGCAGAGCTGTATCTACAGTTCTGTTTAGCATTTTCTCTCTGCTGTAAGGTTTCTCCCTCTCCAAGGGCTGATGGGTGTGATCCCATTACAGTGAAACATGTGATACGGCCCTATATCTGGAACCGCTTGCTACCAAAAGAATGGTTTCCTAGAGTCAGTGTCACTTGCGTCTTGCAAGTTATTTGGCAGCTGTATTTGGTGAACTCTTGTGCCCCTCTGAGACTGACATGGTACCTGGGAATACAATATTAATGTAACAGATGAGCAGGAAGGTAGGCATGTAGAACTAGCATGTGTGTTAGACTTACATGCTTATATCTGAGAATTTTTAAGTGAATGACCCTGTAGACTATCCGTACTTCAGATCTGGATTAACTCTGAGAAGTCCTAAAATAGCTCGTGCAGCCTGGCAAAGAACATGTTGGCTCCATATTTCAAAATTAATTCCTATTGGATACCTTCCAGGGCTGGGTTTGTACCCTCAGGCATCTGTGGAATAGTGGTCAAAGGTAGCGGGGTTCTTTTAAAAACCCTGCTGCCATGACAAAGGGTAGTGGTTTGTCTTTTTTTAAGTTTGTTTGTTTGGTTTTTTTTAACTTCTATAAAGACTTTGAATTTCAATGGTAGTCAAGGATTCCAGGTTGCTCTGAAAAGAGCTCATTTACAGAATTTCTTCCAGAAGAAACTAAGCAGTAAAGAACTACTGGCAGACATAAGATATGAATATGATAAAGAAATTGGGACAGAGTAAATTCATTTGGAGAGTGTAAAAAGTTGGAAGGAGACTGTTTCAAATATTAACTGGTTTTCTTGGTTTCACTTGTAGAGGAAGAGGTTGGGGAAAATGGTAAACTGCAAATAATTGCAGGCATATGCTTCCTGGAAAATGAGACTCTGAATTCTTTTTAAGCTATTTTCCTTTTAGCCTGTTCCATAGTCTGAGATTCTTTGGTTCTGAGATCCTTGCAAGGATGTGGGTTCCAAAGAGGGAGATCCCCTTCATGTATTCCTGTTTCTAGACTATGCCTTTTGTCTCTACTGCTAATCCCAGTTTTGCAGAGTATCACAAGCTCAAAACTAAAGTTAAAATCTCAGCTCCTATCTGCAGGTTTCTGAATAGGAACAGTGATGGGGTTTAATTTTTAGGGTCAGTTGTTATTTATTTGTCAGCGTGTGTTGATTTGTATTGTTTCACAGCATATTTAAGAAAGTCCTGGTGCATTGAATTATGGAAAGGCTGTATTCAAAGGCAATAGGAATAGGAGGGCCTGTGCAGCCTTATGCTTGCTTTTGTGTCATGTGACCAGGAATGTGTGTCTAAAATTAGCCTTAGAGACAAGTCTTACAGTTCATTACTTTTCAAAGTGTTCTGAGATAGTTTTTAAGGGTGTCATTATGTCTCCTGCTGAATCAGGGTAAACCTAAGTACATGCCTAACTACATTGCTAATGGGAGAACACTGTAAATTAAGTTGTAAAGTTTAGCATGGTGTGAGAGTGGTGATTTTTGATTTACTTAATAGTAAAGAGTATATACATGTCTACAGTACTGCCCACTAGTTTTGTTTCTGATACATTGCTGTAATATGTTACATTGTAGACCTTGTTGAAAGAATTAAAGTCTTAGTGGAAAGAGTCCTTTAAAATTATGCCTTTTGTAGCACTCAGAGTGTAGGCAAGCTTTAGGCTTCTGCTGAAATCAGCTTGATATTGGGAACAGATAAATGCTTCAGTTGAGGGTTGAGCTTCAGGTATGAGAAATAAATTTAAATAAACTCAACTGTGAATTGTAGCAAGATAAAAAAGTAACCCTTTTGGACCTCCTAGAGCATCCTAAGCCATAATTTCCTGAAATTTGTTTTAAAAGGAATAAATTGCCTTTTTTTGTTTTAATTTGGGTTCTCTCTCGTTTCAGCTCTTGGTCCGTGCAGGTGCTAAGCTGGATATTCAGGATAAAGATGGGGATACTCCCCTGCACGAAGCCCTGAGACACCATACCCTGTCACAGCTCCGCCAACTCCAAGACATGCAAGATGTGGGCAAGGTAGATACTGCTTGGGAGCCATCAAAGAACACAGTAAATAAAACACATTTATTTATTCCTTTTTTTTTTTCTGTATATTTGTCTCTTTGTCTACTTTGTCTAGTTCTGTACTGTTGAACTGTATTTGGCAATATGAGTTTACATAGACATTCTGCTTTAAACTGCAGTGTAGGCAGAAATCACATTGTTATATGTGGCTTTTCACATGTAGTCATTATTTTTGTTACAGAAAAACAGGGTTATTTATTTCAAAAATATTTCTACAAATCTCTCTTCCATAGTGAACATGTATTATAGCTGCCAAAATCAAAAGTAGCTTTTTAGGAAAGAGAAATAAACAGTGTTACAGTACAGAATAAGACTGAAATAATTTTCTGTGATTCAGTGTCTTGCATGTCTTTATAGCCTTAATTGTTTACTTGCTTCTATAACTTTGTGAAAGTATATTCTGTTAGAACAAGGCCTTCTTAATTTTGTATGTTTGTTTTTATATATCTTTTTGACACACTCAAAAAGTTATGTGAACCCTATATGTAAAGGTGAAGTTTGTGGTTTACCTGAGAGGCAAAGGAGAAATAAAATTCTGGAGCAATTTGAATTGAGAAAAACAAGAATTTTTTTCTGTAGATATTAAAGATGCACAACATAACGGTAGGTCAGATCTGCTGAATCGTTAGTTACCAGTGTCATAATATTTTTTTCTAATTTTAGCTGACGGTGATGTTTTTGCATTTCATAAAGAAAATACAAATGCACCGAGTTCATTAAAAAGCCTTTGTTCAAAATAATAATTTCCCAGTACGACAAATGTTTTTCAAACTGATTACTTAATCTCACTGAAATACACTGGAATAAGCTTTGAAAGAAATGTAAAATGACTGGCATTTGTAGGAATACGCTTGTGCCCTTTTAAGCGAGAGGAGGAGAGCAATTACAACTCAGTTGTGTCCATGATCTATGGACTCTATGAAAGGTGCCCAGAATACCTTGTGTATATGAATTTAATTGTGAAAGGAACGAATGGGAGATGAATAGTTTTTTTTCAGATTCAGCATTTCATAAACTGGTTTCTCTGTTGCCCAGTCTCATTAGTGGCATCCACAATGAAAATAGAGTTGTTGTGTTAACGAGAAGTGGGGTTTTTTTCCATCATCTCTTTAAACATCACCTTGGGGGGGGATTTTATGTTTTAGATAATCAAGTTCTTTTTCTAGTTTCATTTGAGAATTATCTTTGGTTTAAACCAAAGGTGTTTTTTTTATTTCTATTAACGTAATAAGAAAAAAGGGACGGGAAAGATACCACAAGAAACAAAGAAAAAAATCCCCTCTTGATTGTATCTCTGATCACCTAAAAATGTTTTAATGTTCTTTAAAAAATCATGATTAGCCACTATCTCCTATATTAGCTTGATCAAACTGTTGGTCATTTTTTTGCACTTGTTTAATTGCAGAGAAGATTTTTCCCTTAACTAAAAAATTTGTGAGGTTTAAGTGACATGGAGAAGATATATGCCCTCAGAGAAGAGGTGAAAACTTGGTTATTTTAATTTTATGTGGCAACGTGTCACTGAAATATGAAAGATGGAGTAAAGCTTGAGTAAAATATACCTGTAAACTTTTTAAGATGGTCAAACTATCTTGAAATTGTCTTGTGAAAAATAGTAAATGAGAACCGTACCTAGACCTATTTATCTTTATTTAAATAAAGGTATTGTAAAAATTCTGTAAACTAGATTTGACCAGTAAACAGTTTTAAATATTAAACCACCTTTGGCCCAAAATTGTTTGTCAAAGACAGGATCTAAACTGTGCAAATGCGTGCAGGCATCTGGACCTCTAAAGCCATCCAAAGACACATTAGTAATTTGTCTTCTGTGGAATTGCAAATACAGGTGATAGATAATAAAGGATAAATGGGATTAATAATTTATTCTGGGAACCTGTAAGGTTTTCTTTTTGTAAATATGATAAATTGAAGGTTTGTTTTGGGAGGTTTTTTTATTATTCTTTATTAATTCCTTTAAGGGTTGGGAAGCATGTCAGATTTCGTTAGTCTATGTGGTAGCAAATCACCTATGTAAATATGTAGTACTTTTGACCTCATTTTTGCTTGGCTAAATTCTAATTAACTTTGGACTGCTGTCTTGAAGATTCCAACCTATTAAGACCTGTAAGGTACTTCTTTGTAGTATAGTACTTCAACAAATAATTATTCTATTTTAGTTTCAGTTGAAAAAACTGAGAAAGAAAAATTTCACTTGCAGGATTTTAGGGTTTTTTTGTATTTGATAAAGTTGATCAAACAGCAGCTTCATTGAAATTCTATAATTTTTTACTTTTTACCTTGACCACTATTTAAAATACAAACCAATATTTTTTACTGGTATCATGAACTTATTTGTAAGTGGAAATATATGGAACGAAATCTTCAACATTGATTTATTTTTTTTAGAGTTCCTTCTGTTGGAACAAGCTCCCCAGGGAAGTAGTCACAGCACTAAGCCTGCCACAGTTCAAGAAGTGTTTGAACAATGATCTCAGGCTCATGGTGTAATTCTTGGGGTTGTCTTGTGCAGGGCCAGGAATTGAACTTCCATGATCCTTGTGGATCTCCTCCAACTCAGGATATTCTATATTAAGTCCCCACCACTACAAAAAAAGTCATTTGAGTTCTTTATTACAGGTGCAGTGTTCCTTGGTCTAGGGTACTTTTTATCCTAAATAAATGTATTATTCCCAGGTGCATTTAATGTAATTTATTTTAATATAGATGTCTTTCAGACTTTTAAAATTCTTTTGCATGATGCCACTGCCTAAATCCTAACTTAAAACAAAAAAACTCTAATGGAAGGTGTTTACAGCTTCAAAGGTAGCTGAGTAACTACAATTACTTAGATGATATTTATGATATTTGTTGGATTACACAGAGACTTCTCCCTCAGAGGTAAATTGGCTGGAATTGGCCTGTGTTGATGCATTTCAGGGCTGGACCCTTCCAGAGGAGGCTTTCTACTGCTGTACTGTGCACTAAGACATAATGAGGCTCGTTTTTTTGTTCATGGATTTGTTTTGTGTTGTTCTCATTTTGCGTGCGTGAAAAGTTGCAGGTTCCTGAAAAGTGTCATGGGATGCAATATTGTCTTGGTGTTTTCAAATAGTATGGCATGCAGAGGCATTTTAGGACCCAAGGTTTTCTAGACTAATGTTGATGGCTGTTCCGTGATGACTACTCTGCCAACCTCGGAGCAAATCACTTTCACTGGGTGTTGTACTGCCTTGGCTGAATTATTGACGACGTGGTTCAGAGTACCTGGAGTGAAGCTAGATAAAATCTCTTCACTTCAGCCAGTGCTGTAATTGAAGTGCATAAAAATGGTCTGAATTTATAAACAAAAATTTTCTGTGATCTGAACACAGCAAAGGAATGCGTCTCCATAACTTATTGATTTTCCTGGTGTGAAGTCTTTCTAGCTGTACTGTTCTTACCTAATCATAAGGAAGAATGCAGGATGAGCATCTGGGAATTCATAAAGTGGCCTTCAAGAGTCTTGTAGCACCTCAGTGATACGTATTGATATAAGAGTTTTAGTTAGGGATAAGAGCTCTTAACTAAAAGGAATAAACATAAATTGCTTCCCTAGGAAACTGGGCGACTGTATGATGAGAAGGATAACCTTGCAATTATCAAGGCAGGGTAAAGACTTCTCATACAGTCTTCACATGCTGCAAGAAATTAACCCAAACCAACGCTTCTTCTTCATGAGTTACCTCTGAAGGATGGGATAAATATCTAGAGGGGTTTTGAAAACTGTTTTCTTCATAGTTCAGACTTCAAGATATGCAGCTGTTAGGGCTGGAGTGACAGGTATCTGGTATTTTAAGTTTATTCCTGTATGCTGTTCTGTCTAAAATAGCACTTCTAGTCCTCTAAATACTAAATGGTTGTTAATCCAGCCAAAATGACTTAATTTTTAGGGGGGCTTTTAGAAGACCAGCTACAGGGATAGATTGTACAAAATGAAAAATGGTGTCAAAAAGTGTACATCAGTCAGTTGGGCACTTAAATAATGGGAAAGAAGTGCATACAAAATCCTGCCTCTATCCTAGCATTGAAGCCTTTATAATTCCAGATTTCAGCACTTAAAGCTCCCAGAATTGGAGCTGTCCGAGCTATGCCAAAGCTGTTCCTTTGAATGTAGGGTGGTGTAGTTTGCTGAGGAATTCTTAGTGGTGCCAGCAGTTCTGGTTTTTTGTGTAGTCTGCATTATACTTAATGGATTTTATCTAATCAAGCTTTAATACAAAAAGATGTTGGGAGCAGGCCCAGAATGCTCTGGGGCGGGTGAATCCTCTTCTTGCTGGGCTATGGTAGTGAGCCTTCTCTCTTTGTCTAGATGGCCCTGTGAACTGTGTGTAATAGGTACAGTAATACAAAAATAAAGTACTAGCTGTAAAAGGGCAAAGTAACCTTATCTGATTAGGACAGGAAGGACAGTGTGTGAGTTTAAATCCATCTAGGCTGAGAAAGACTCAAATTCAGTTGCTTTCTTGGGCAGGTATGTTATCACTAGACTAAAAGTGTGTATTTATTTCTCTGCTCAGCTGTGTTTTCAGTCCAAATGTGGTGTTGTTGGCAGCATTTTGTCTGAACTCTGCAATTTCAGTGTACTGAAGTGTGTTCTGAATATACCCACTGGAACTTTGCCCTTTTACAGTACTTACACAGGACAGCCCCTTCACATGTGAGTATAGGTGTGCAGGATGCTTCAACAGTCAAACTATTCCTTGCTGAATTCTTATTCCTTGCTGAATTTTAGTTCCTTAAAGGAAAATTGAGTATAGCTGACTAAAAATTAAGCAATTGTACAATCGTTTTAATTTTAGTTCTAGAGATGCTTCCTTGAGCTAACAGGTTTATACATATATGTGTGTGTGTGCATGTGTTCATGTCAAATAGTTTTCCTTTAGCCAAACAATTCTTAACTGTATAGAGAGGCTTTCAAGTTGCTTATGTATTTGTTTTCTTTCAGTTAATAATGGGACTTGGCACTCAAGGAGCAGAGAAGAAGAGTGCAGCATCTATTGCCTGCTTCCTGGCAGCCAACGGAGCTGATCTCAGCATTCGTAACAAGAAGGGTCAATCTCCTCTCGATCTCTGCCCTGATCCGAGTCTCTGCAAAGCATTGGCTAAATGTCACAAAGAAAAAGTCAGGTTTGTATATTCATAAAATACAAGGTTTCCAAATCTCTGCTTTCTATAGATTAACTTACTTATTTAAAACACCGTGCCTTTATTAGCAATAGCATTAAAACATGCAAGCTATTTTATTTACTTTCAATTAATTCTTCATTTGCTGTGGTACATTGAATGCTATTTACAAATACATTAGTTGAAATTTACCCAAGTCTTACAGGACTTTCATGCATGTTAATATGGGAGGAGAATGGGAAGGTGACAATCTGCAGGTGAAGGTTTGTAGAGCTTCAGAAATAGCAGGGAGGGGGGGGACTCACTGGAAGAATAATTAGGCATTTTAACAGGTTGGCCTAGGAAGTTGTCAGATCTCCACACAAATCTCATACGAGTTTTAAAGGCTGAAATGGGTGAAGCCCAGTATAGCCTGGTATAAATTTAGTGTTGAAGATGCTTTGAGCAGGTGGCCTACTGAGTACCTGTCAACATGAACAATTGTATGATTCTGTAAAAAGAGTATAATGGAGTGGGTCTGATGTCTTTAGGAATTATGATTTCAGAGAAACGTCATGTTACCAAGTGTATGCAGTATGAGATGATTCAGCTTGTCCCGGTTGTGTTCCCCCCGTGATTTCTTAAACAATTCTCATCCTTAATTCCTGTATGGAAATCAAAACGGTACTTTCAAAATGTCACAAAGAGAGGCTGTTTTTATTGATGTTGTCCTGGTAAGGAGTAAGGTGCTTATATTCTCTTAGAGCCTTTCTGTCTGTGTCCATCTATCTCGGCCTCATCCCTTGGCTGTTCCCTCTCCGCCAGCTTTTACGGGCTGGTGAGGGCTGTGGGAGCGAGGCCCTCTGCTGGGGGAGCAGCAGCACAGCGCTCCGACCTCAACTCGCTGACCGAGCCTGGGCTCTGTCACTTGCTGGGCGTTGAAGCGTGTTCAGGGTGAAGGTGTTCAGCTGTGCGGTTCTGAATCTACAGGGCATGTCTCTATCAGTAAACTCTTAGGATGAGAGGGAAGGGCGTTTTACAGCTTTTTACGTACATGCTCACGACATGCTGTTCTGTGTCCAGTTTCTCTACGATGTCTTATCTGAGCATGTGACCTTGCACTCTGGTGTCCGCTGTTCATTTGGGAAAAGGCAGTTCAGATTGCTTTATGATGATACAGTGATGCCTGAATGCGTAGGAGTATATAAACAGCCAATTGATGTGCATTTTAAATTAATTTTTTTTTTTTAGTTCTTAAAAGTTTGACTGCAAGGTTTCTTTGTAGTGGTCAGGTTGGTTCCCGAAGTCCGTCTATGATCAACAATGATTCTGAAACCTTAGAAGAATGTATGGTGTGTTCAGACATGAAGAGAGATACACTGTTTGGCCCATGTGGACACATTGCCACTTGTTCTCTGTGCTCACCACGGGTGAAAAAATGCCTCATCTGTAAAGAACAAGTTCAGTCTAGGACAAAGGTAAAAACCTCCAAAATTCATTGGTTCTCTCTCTTTTTTAACGGAAAAGAAACAAAAATAGAGTGGTCCAGGAAATACATAATTTATTTTATGTGGTAGTTTGCCTTACATGTGTCTCACTGGATGGAATTAATTTTGCATTGTAGTGATATCTTGTCCCAACATTGTACATTGCTCTTTTGTGTTTCCCTGTACCTTTCCCTGCCTTGCAATGTTTTTATTGTTCAGGTCTTCAGAGTTCCTAATACAGTCACCTGAGGATACTTTATTGAAATAGATTATTTCCTTCCTCCACGGTATTTTTTTCTTCACGTTAAGATAAATCGCTACTTTTTCTGAAGTATAATTTCCCTCAGTAATACTCAATTCTTCTGAGTTCTTTTATTCCTTAGGGCTGCTTAAAAGATCATTTGCCTGTAAACTGAGTTAATTAATATGTGCTTGTTTTTGAAGATAATAATTACTTTCAGCTTTCACCTTTTCTTTCTTAGGAATCACAAGTTTCATTATGCTGTCTTTTTTCTTCAGAGTATCAACCAGTTGTGCCCTATTTTGGAGACCTAGTCTCAGTAGTTTTTATGAAAACCCAACTCTATTTTTAAATTTTTTTCCAAACATTTGACTAGTCTACTTCTGCACTATGTTAGGGGTTTTTTTTCTCTACTTCAGAGTAAATATAGGAGTTGTAAATATAAATTTGTATTGGTTTTACTATTCACTCTCCTATTCTTATTTCTTATACCATTCACTATTCTGTGCTGTGTATTTTCAAAATCCAAATGTTAACATAGCGGGAGCTCTTTTTTCTCTAGACTTCCTTTATAATCAGTGAAAGGGTTCTGTCACTGGGGGATTCGGAGCAGCAAAGTAAGGCTTTTACCTCTAGTCATCCATCTAAAGAAGCTAATCTATGGAAATCAGCTTTCCCAGGTGAAGGCTAACCTTTGTGGATAACCTTCCCGTCATTTCTTTTGCAGAATTAGGTTGAGAGTGTGGAATATCTGCTTAATATTTCTCTTCTATATAAAAACTTACAGCAATATCTGTAAAAAAGGCTAAGAAATTAATGACTCAGGCCAACAGTTCTCTACAGTTCTCTATGAACTGGAAGAAGTGGTCCAGGCTAGTATGAATGGAGTGGTATGTGATGTCTGTGGTCAAACTCTATATGCCCCATCCCTAGAAGTGTTCGAGGCCAGGTTGGATGGGGCCTTGAGCAACCTGCTCTAGTGAAAGGTGTCCCTACCCATGGTAGGTGGTTTGAAATGGGATGATCTTTAAGGTCCCTTTCAACCCAGACCATTCTGTGGTTGTATGGTATATACAAGTACTCACAATAAAGAGCTAGAGAAACCCTAATCCAGAATATACCAGTACCTTATAAGCGAATTTCATAGGATCGCAGAATGGTTTGGGTTGGAAGGGGCCTTTCAAGTTAGTCATCTAACTAATATCTAACACCCTGCAATGAGCAGAGACATCTTCAACTAGATCAGGTTGCTCAGAGCCCCATCCAACCTAACCTTGAATGTTTCTAGGGGCAGGGCATCTACCACCTCTCTGGGCAATCTCATTATAAAATATTTCTTTCTTCTATCTAGTCTAAATCAACTCTCTCTTAGTTTAAAACCATTACCGGTTGTCCTTCTGCAACAGGCCCCGCTAAAAAGTTTCTACCCATCTTGCTTATAAGCTCACTTTAAATACAGAAAGGCTGCAATAATGTCTCCCCAGAGACCTCTCTTCTCCAGACTGAATAACCCCAATTTAAGTATATATATATGATGGAACAAAGAACAAGAAAAAATAAAGAAATATATGCTGTCCTAACTGCTTCTCTGTGCCTGTCAGTGTACTGAATGTGTAAAAATTGCTAGAAAATATATCTTCTTAGAAGTTATCACACTGACTCATTAAAGTTAGATTCTGAGGTGCTGAATTGGTTTAAAAAAAACAAACTAGATAAAGCTTCTTGAAGTCCACGTGCCTTGCAAATTAATGTAGAGAGCAGGAGATAAACTTTTCTTGTATGTGTTTGTTGTTCTTTACAGATCGAAGAATGTGTAGTATGTTCAGACAAAAAGGCAGCGGTGCTTTTCCAGCCTTGTGGTCATATGTGTGCCTGTGAGAGTAAGTAACTTGACAGAAGCCCTTTTTGAAGTAGTCATGAAACAGAATATTTTTAATTGGATTGCTGAAAGGTCACCAGTAATCTGATGTCATGTCCAATTTCCTTGATAGCCTGGTGTGATGGTTAGAATTTTGACAGTATTTGACATGCTGGTAATAATTGGAGGACAAAGTGGAGATTTTCAAAAATTGAGGAAACAAGTGCTCTTCCATCTGAGTTATTTATTACAAAAACCTACTGTATATCATTAAAACTTCTGAAGTTATTAGAATTAATTTTGTTGCTTTTCTGCAGCTTTTTGGGGCATTCAGATGTGCAAATGGTGTTTTAAAAGAATACTTTAAATAAATATTTAGTATGCTTCGTTACTAATTTACAGATTTGCACAAGGGCTGTATTTTTCTCTAAAAGACACATCATATATCTTTGCAAAAAGCACCATTTGTGTTTCACTTTGATTTATCCTGTGTAGGAAAAAAATACCTAGGAGATTGCCAGAAATTTTCTGGTTTTGAGAATATGTGGATGAGAATGCAGCCATCACCTTGTCTCCAGGCATTTCAGGGCTTTGTTGAAGAGTGATTTGCCTGGAGAAGAGCAGTCCATATTGATGAGGACCTACATGAGAGGGAGGGTAATCATTCCCATGAGTAACTGCTTGCTTGGTCTTGCTAAAGAAGGCTGATTTCTTCCTCTGTTCTGGCTGAGGCAGCTGACGTCATTGACTGTAGTTACCCTGATCTGGCCTCTTTCACTGTCTGCAGTTGAAAGATGATGAGAAAAGTGGTTTTGATTTGTTTCCCAGAAAAGAGGACAACAAAAAGATTGATTGCTGTGGTGAAGGATTTCAGCAGTGCAATGCACATTACCAAGTCTAAGCTGTAACAGGGACAGCAAAAGGTTTAACAAATGCAGATGATTTCTTTCCAGATTTTTTTCTGGACATCTTGTTCAAACAGGATAATGGAGAGTCTCCAAATTTGTGTAGTTTATAAGACCCATTTTATTAATTTATAGTAACCTTTTGGCATTTATGAGACATAATAATTTGCCTTTTGTAGAAGAATTACAGCCTCATTTCTAGGATTATATCAAAAGATGTAGGTTTATTCTTCAGGGTAAGGAGCAGCACTTATTTGCCCCTGGACCATTAGGACAGTTAGTGAGATTCTTTGCTCTAAAGGAAAAAGTGGGTAGCAAGACATTCTTGGAAATTCCGATCTCAAATATGTGTAATTGTACTTTTTAACTTCAGCAGTTCTAGTGGAATAGACATCCATTTGGAGAAAGAGGAACCTGTTCACGTGTAATACTTTAAAAGGAGATAAAGGGAATAGATTTACTTTGAATCCCAAACAGGATGTTGTTTATATGTGTGATTTGCAGAAAGTTTGTGCAGAAAGTAGTTTTTTCTATTATAAGCATATGTTCAGTCATTGCTGTACAGTTACTGTGATTAGACAAGCTCACATATAGAAAAGAAGAAAAATTAAGTAGCAGGATTCAGAGTTGATTTATTTCTCTGTCCTACCAGATTGTGCAAGCTTGATGAAGAAGTGTGTACAGTGTCGGGCAGTGGTTGAGCGAAGAGTGCCTTTCATAATGTGCTGCGGAGGGAAAGGTACAGAAGATACCACTGATGATATTTGTGAGTGACTCCAAAGCCCATACTCTTTCATATTCCTCCACCAACTTCTTATTCTCATTCTTCTAAATGACCTAAATACTTTCTCTCCTTTCTAAAGTTCAATAATAACAATGTTAACCCAGGTATCCATTTGCTGTTTGCACTACTTTCTGCAGTGGCAGCAGCAGATGTAATAATAACACTGGTCATTATACTGGAGCATTGCTTCCAGCGTTCAGAGTAAGGCCGAGAGCATGTGGTAGCTTAGCCACTTGGTAATGTCTAATGAAGCAAAAGCTGTGAATTGTCTGTAATTGTGCAAATGAGCAAATAAATGTTTGGGTTTTTTTACTTCTGGAACTCTGAAAGCATGTTAAATGTTTTGCATCTAAATACAAGCAACTTTCCTGACAGAATGTAGAGTTTTACATCTCCTGCTTTGACTAGTTTTTAAATTTCTTGTGACTTCTTTGAATAATTTCTGTGGATTATGTGCATTTACTCTGTCTGTGTATGTGCATTTACTCTGTGGTATGCAGTATTTCAGTTGACTTTATGGGAATTGGAATATTACTTCGTTCTGGTCATAATGTTCCAAAATAGATAAATGTAAGAATAATCAGTAAAATCGTGTTTTCAATACACTGGGAATTTAAAATACTTTACAGTTTTTCTGCTTCTTATAGTAACATTGCTTCCTAGGTCAGTCAGGTATAAGAATATTAATCAGAGCTTGTTCAAAGTCTGAACAAATTACTTCCAAGACAGTTGTGCAGTTTTCAACACCAAAGTGAATCATCGGTGTAGATAAGTCTTTTCAGTGCTAAAGGATTTGACTTTTTTTTTTTTTTTTAAGCATATACCCCAAAAATTTTACTTCAGGAACTACTAGCAAATAAGAGCTCCAAGACCATTAAGGGACTACAAGTATCATTATTGTGGAAATATTTGTCAAAGAAGTGTTGCCACTAAATTCAAAGAAATTCTTTATTAACTGAGCTGCAGTGATGATGTAGTGAATTCAATTAGATTACCAAAGATATTTGACTAACATTATTTCAGATAATTAAAAAATTGTAGTTATGACACTGGAAGTAATTATTCCTGTTTCATTGGATTGCTGCATAATCATGTATCTTTATTTTCTTTACGTTACAGCAAGTGGAAACATTCCAGTTTTGCAGAAAGACAAAGACAATACTAATGTCAATGCAGATGTACAGAAGCTGCAGCAACAGTTACAAGACATCAAGGAACAGGTAAAAGTGCTGAATAAAAATTTTATGGACCACTAAACTAATTGGACAAGCCAATGCATCCTCTGTTATTTAAAGTAAGATGACGTGTTAAAGTGCATCAGCTCTTAAATTTTAGTTAAATGACCAATATTTTTTTGCATGATGTGGCTTGTATGTTCTCTATGTACAGGGTTAAAAACAAAAAAATCAAGTGACCAGGTTTGATAATCAGTCTGTTTAAAAGCATCTGTGTTGGTGTGATTAAAAAAGGGTGCTCTTGTCCAGTCAGTGTATTCTCTGCCTGTTTAGTGACCTGAGTGTGTAGGTACAGCAGAAGCTGTTTTCATGGAATGGTGGTAAAAGTAGATTTTTTTCACTGTTCTGTATCTACCTGCATCTTTACTTGTTTGTTCATTAGCTGTCTTTGAACAACAGCTGACAGTTACCTGCCATATGAGGGGTATGGTTCACATATTCTTCAAAAGATTGTGTAATTGCAAAGTTAAAACTTTGAAAGTACTATACAAAAAACTTGAATATTTGTAATTTAAATGTTATGATTTGTCATCTGTAATTATGTATAGTGTTTACAGGAGGAAATTTATACAGATTAACTACAGATTGTGTTGATTATTCGTTGGTTAAGTTACATGCAATTCAGAAACCTAATGGAAAAATTAATTTTCTACTGACCTATTTAAATGTGTTACATCTCTAAGTCTAGTTCCATTTGAAATGCTTAAAGTAGTTGTCTACATGCAGAACTTTGTTGTGTTAAATTACCGAATTGTTTCATTGCTTTTCCGTCTGTAGAAAAACTTGATTTTTAGATTTTTCACTAGTAAAGGACCTGGAGTATCTGATTATTGTATGAACTTACTCTCTTAGAACCCTAATAACGTGATTTTGGCTTCCCTATGTATAACAAAACTGGAAGAGACTTTTCATGGATACAGGAAACAGGAGTGTTCTAACTTGCTTTTTCCTCTTGTAAGGCTTACAGCAGTCAGTAATACTTCAGTGATGGCAGCATCACATCTCATCCTGGTAGTTGTGGCTTTCAGCTGTTCATGCATGTGAAAACTAAGGCTATAGTGCTTAGATTGCCAGTTTTACAGCCCATATCTCTAAATGCCTTAAATTTGGGAACTGATGTGCTCAGTGGAATGTCTGTGAAGAGCTGTTCCTGTCATATGGTGACTGGGCCAGCACCCCAGTAATAGAAATTTAAAACAGATTCCTGTGTAGCTTTTGTCTGTAAAAGAACATGCAGATGGAAAATTGTCATTTGAAAAATGCATGTCTGTCTTAACAGTAACACCTGGAATGTCTAGATATCTCTGACATCTTACATCTACTGTTTAGCTTCTGCTTTACTTTTTAGCATTGAATGGAAAGAATATGGTTACTTCTTTGGCATTTGAAAGGATATGTGTAAATGGTGCAGATGAATGTAGAAATGCAAGTAATCTATTTTCTTCAGATGTATGTTTTTCTGGTTAATTTTAGGAGTTTATAAAAGATTTCTCTTTGGGTATGCTAATACTCTTAGGCACAGGAAAAGAAAACTATATTACAGGTTTTTTTCTTGATTAGATGTGATCTCAGGTTTTTTTTCAGTTTTCCTTAGGTGCTCTTTTATTCTATACAATTTTGTCTTACTTTTGAGATTTGCTAGCCAGAAGCCAGAATTGTTCAATGCCTCTGACTAGAACGAGGTGGTTCTGGTCATTCTTGTGTGCATCTTGGCTTGAGACTCTTCCATATTTTCCTTAGTGTCTTTTCTGCTTAGTCTTGTGATCAGGCAAGTTGAATATCATATTTGTCAGTAGCAAGTTGGATTTGATAAAAATTCATCATGTCATTTTTTAAATTTGTGTTTAAAGTGATGCACAGCAGTCCACTATAACTGTGTATTCTTTTGATTTATGCTGTAACAATTCAGTGTTAAAATGATATTTTTCTACTTAAAATTAATTTGTTCTCTTTCAGCAGGTATAATCCTTTGTTTCAACTCATACCTTCAATGATAATCTAATATGTTAGTGCAGCAAGCTTTTAAAACCATTTCTGGTGGCAAGCAGAAGTGATGCTGATGTCAACAGAATCTCCCACATCTGATGACCACACCATTCTTCAGGGATTCCCTGAATGTGAACCCTTTTGACTGTAATTGCAATACCTTCACTCCATTTCATACATGATCATCATCATCTGTCTAATATCTTATGTATGTTCCTTCACCATACTTACATCACTTTCTTCCTCCTTAAAAATAAATTTATTTTGTCACTGTGCACCTGTATATTGTTGGAAAAACTGTTTTTAGTAAGGAGGAATTGATACTTCAAACAGTTTAAAACACCTTGTTAGTGGTAAAAATTTTTTTTGAATTGCAAAGCCAATTAAGGTGGCTATGAGCACTTTTTCAGAGTCCTTACCCAAAGAAGTAGTTCTCATTGAGAACAGGCATAATGCCTTTTTTATAGTCCTTTTTTATTTCTTTTTCTTCAAAAGATAGTAGTCAAATCTTTCATGTAGAGGCTTTTCTAACAAACTAGTAGTACAATAGAAACAGATACTGCGTATTCTGTAGAAGTACTTATAAACTCCTAGTTAAGTAAGAAATTCTCCTTGGAAGCTGGAAAGCTCAGTTATCTGGGCTTCTATCTCACTGGGAAACTGCTGAGCTAATCAAGAAAACCCTGTGTAGCAAACAGGAAGATTCACTGTCCTGCCAACTATGTTCTCCTACTGTGTAAAAGTAACTTAACATTTAAGTTAGTATCATGTTGAGAAATTAAACAGCTAATGTATTTTATATTCTCTGCTTTCATACTAAGCAGTAGAAATTGGGCAATTTGCTAATACTGCATGCAATTGCAGAAAATATCTGTAAGATGAACATGTTCGGATTTCTGTGCTTCACTGATTGAAACAGTTAAAAGTAATGGTGTTGAAACAGATTTTAATTTTTATTATTTCTGAGTCCCTTGATCAATGTTTTCATTTTTAAATGCTGTTGTGTCATTTGGAGAGAAACAGACCCTTTTAACTTTAGTAATTCTGACATTATATTTAGACACAAAGGCAGTTAGCTAAAACGTAAAGGCTACGAGTTGTTGGTTTTTTTCCCAAAAAGATAAGATTAGTGTTTGCTTTGTCAGTCCTTTGTCAAAGGACATCATGCCAATGCTGTCAGGTTATAGACACTTATCACAGAACAGCTCTGTGTTCATTGCCTTGGAAATAGCTGTTTCACTGATACTTGAAGTCTGTGAGTTACTGAAGGAAGAATACTCTTAATTGTCCTCTTGGGATGTGTAATGATTTGAACCAGGTTTTCCCCCTGGAGCAAAGTGACAGGGGGCTAGGACTAGAGAATTAGAATTTTGAGGATCTCAAACCATGACAGGATGTCAAGCTGGTGACTTAGTGTGAAAGGAAAAATGAGTGGGACTGATTGACAGACACTCAGTATTGGGCAAATTTTTTGTTTAAGAGTGTTTTGTTTTAGTACTGTGGAAATCTGGCAAAGCTGGAGAACACTCCCCCTTCAGGATTTTTTTAAACATAAATTGACATAAGGTTTTATACTCCTGCTACTCCATTATACTGGTATCCTGAAGATTAAAATAGGCATTTGGCCAGACTCCATGCCAATTTAAACTTTGTATAAGCAGAATGATGGTGATTTGGTTTTTTTTTGGTCTTCAACTAAGCTATGTACCTTAGGAAGTAATAAAGGCTAGAAGTGGCACTCAGTGCCATGGTTTAATTGACAAGGTACTGATAGGTCTTAAGTTGAACTTTATGATCTCAGAGGTCTTTTCCAACCTACCTGATTCTGTGAATACCTCTTAATTCCACAGAAAGTGTGCTTTAAAGGTTATACTGAATAGGGTCCCTAATATGGATTTCTCTCTTTAGATGAACAAATTGAAGTAAACACCCAATGATGAGTATGTAAACAAGTCACAGGTGCAAGACGGTGATAAAATGAATTTGTATTTGAAATATGAACCCTCTCAGTATTTCATATTATGTACAAGATCAACATTTATATTTGTTAGATATGTATAGTGTGTCTCAGATCTGAGATTTGACTTGGTGGACTATAGAATGGTCTTAACAATTATCATCTGTTGTAACATCTATTCATTTACTAACCTTTGATCAACTGTTATAAATGAAATCCTAATGTGGCTGCAATATGTTTATGGTGAAGGAACATGCCTTACCAAAATTTCTGCATATGACAAAAGGTGAAGGACACTGTTCCTTAGTGGCTTGGTACAAAATTAATTTTGCTGTTGAATAACCTTTAGAGATTTTGGGCATTGGCTGTCACTTTAATGTTCAGCAATTAAAACTGATTTTAAAAGTTTGCTGTGCTACTGTTATGACTGAAGGTCAGATATTTATTAAACTGTTCTTCATTTGAAACTTGAGGTGTTCTTTTGGTTGAAAATCTAGATAACTTCCACAAACAAAGTATTGAATATTTACATAGATTATTGATTATGCAGCATTTTTATTGCTTCTACATGTGTTCAGTGCTTGATGTTTTAAGGTAAGTATACGAATGGCCAGATAACCTGAGAAGAAATTTGTAAATCATTACCCAAGCATTGCATTTGTAAAACTGTTTGTTGTGTTTGCTCCCTGGAAGATTACATGACATATAGGAGACTGTTTCTGAAGAATCCTCAAGTTTGCAACATTAAGACAATGATATTGAAAATTTGATGTCAGCCTTCTACTGGATTGTCTTACTTAAAGGGGTCATATTTGGAAAAAAGCTGCATAGTTGTTTGTGTAGGAAAAGCCCACATATTTTAAATCAATATCAAGTAAAAATGGGATTAAAAAAAGCCCAAACTAATTTAGGTTAGTGGCTGGGTTATGCTATGGCAATTATCTTTTATGCTTAAGATGATTTTGTATTTGTTGTTATATGCAACATATAAATTGTTGACATTTTCAATACTGTATAACTGCTGCCATTGACTATGTAATCTGTCAAAATCTTTTACAGACTATGTGTCCTGTCTGTTTGGACCGCCTGAAGAATATGATTTTTCTCTGTGGCCATGGAACGTGTCAGCTTTGTGGAGACCGAATGAGTGAATGCCCTATATGCCGCAAGGCAATTGAGCGAAGGATTCTTTTGTATTAGATAGTGGAACCAGTGTCTTTTATTAGGTTGTGAAATATTAAGGTCATTTTGATGGTTTAAATCTCTGTAAGTTTAAAAGGCAGTAAAGGGTTCTAGTGAAAACATTTCTAATACTGTAGCACAGGTTCATTACATGGTAATTGTTTAAAGACTGTGAACACACCAAATAAAAGAACAGTATTTGAACAGTCAGCTTTTACCTTTACTCTTCTAAAACATCTAAGCCTGAAGCTAATTTAAAGCAGTCATTTTTTTCATTTTCTTTTTGTCTTCTTCCCCTTAAAGTTTAAAGGGACATTCTTGTTTTGGTTTTGTTCATGTGTACCATATACGTATCAGATGTCAGGTGATGTAAGGGATTTTTTTTTTTTTATATTGTCAGTTACTACCAAACATAAATATTTAGGATTTTTTTGGCTTTATGCTTTTCTGGAGACTGTTGACACGTTTCCTGTGATAGTTCTGATTCGCATTCATTTCTATCTTGAAATATACAATCATGAAAAATCAATACAAATTATATACACACTAGTAATAAATATACCATTCCCATAAGATGAGGCCTCAGAATACAATAAGGTAATTCTAACTTTATCATGCCCTTTGTTGCTGAGGATGGCCTGGGAAGGAAATAGTAAAAAGAAAATCTGTTTTAGAAACATTAGGTTCCCAAAACTGCACTTTAGTCTAACAGGTTCAAACTAGCTAACTTAAATAGTGAACATTGTAATTCCACTAGTCACATGACTTTGTACAGAATTTCTTTTAACCTGACTGGAAAGGAAAATGTTTGAGCAGTGGGTAGTTATCCATTTCGGGTGAGTGCGTTTGATCAGTTGTAGAGGAACATATACATGTGGAGCCTTTTAAAAATTGTGGGTATATAAATAAGGAAAAATTAGAGGTTTTGCAACATTTCCTCTCTTTTTAAGTGGGTTTTATCATCTCCAGGCAAACAGGGTCAAGAGCAAAAGAGAAGATTTAATACTGCTTATTCATCTGAGTTGGGTGTTAACACCAGAACTTATCTGTGAGCATTACTGGGTAATACTGCAAATGAAGATATTGCTGACAGAACAGTGAATTTTGTGAGCCTTACTTAGGTGAGCTGAATTTGGCTAAAGGAGTTTGCTGCCACTGATGTGACAAAGAGCTGTTCCTGACCCCAAAAATTCTAATGTCAGGAACTGTAGACTGTTAACATTTTGATAACAAATACATCTTTTCATCATTCGTGATGGTAGAAAATATGCTAATTTGAGGATCTCTTGTAGCTAAAAGGAATGTGTACCTACTCCTAAGTGATTCAACAGTTTTGTGAGTGCAAAGTTCATGTAGCCCTTTGCCATTGTGCAGACTTCATTTGGATGTGCTCTTGCAGGACAGTAAAGAAATCCATGCTGAAGTCATTTAGGTGCCTTACTTGCAGCTAAGATTAACTTATCACTTAATTCTCATTGCATATGTCAAAAATGTGGACAAAGAGATAGTTCAGGGAAAGATCCAAGTAAGGATAAAGGCATAAAATTGTAGTCTCTTCAGATAAATGAATCTTTCTTTTGAAGCTTATGTTGCTATGCCTGAATTGTGCAAACGTTGGCAAAAGTCTCAGAAGAATGGTACTAATAAACTATAAAGACAGACAAACCTTTAAGCAATAAGATTTAAACACTGAATAGAGTTTTCCAGGAATCAGCTACAGTGATATATTGGAAAAATGTATGTAGAGTAGCTTTTAACATTGCAAAGTGATGTAATACACAGCCTTTCTATAGCCATCTTTAATCCTGCTCCAACATTGCAAATGTTACTCATTCTTTTCAGTGTTTTTTCATTGGACAGAATCACAATCTGGAGTCATTATAGTAGTCTGGTGTATTTTGTACATTAGTAGTCATCTCTTCTCAGATAATCTGTGTATCTGTATTCTTGGCAAAATGAAATAGCCTTCCCTTTTTGCTTCTTGGGTTCCCATCCTAAAGTACTAGAATCTCAAGGAGCTTTGGAAAGTTTCTGATATAAGGCTTTTTTTTCAGTTCAGCATTTTGCTATCTCCACTTGAACTCTGAGTGCACCTGAGTTTTCATGGCAATTTTCATTTGACCAATGTGCATGTCACTAAGTTTGAGGGTGGTTTTGGTTTTTTGGGTGGTGGTGGTGGGTTTTTTGGGGGGGGGAGAGGGCAGTTTTCTTTTGCTTTGATTTGGGGTTTTTTTGGTAGCATGTTTGACAGCTGAACTTTCTATAGTAGGCTTCAGTTTCCTGTCAGGCTTCCCTTGGAAATACTTCTATAATAGGATATATGCCATTTGACAGTCGATTCTGAATTTTAGCCTGTAGCGCATCAGATCTGTACCTTGGTTTCCTCTGTCTCTGGTAGACATATTTTGAAAACTGTGTCCTCTTAATTCTTCATGGGGACCTCTATAAACTGCTGTAGCACAAAGGCAGGGTGGATTTATTCTTGATAGGGCAACTGAAACTTCATTATAGCAATTGGCATTTTCTTAACTCTTTTTTAGTGGAACAAGCCAGAATTACTTGAAAGTATTCCAGCTTATCATGAATTGAAAAATTCAGCTGAGTAAGAACTGATCTAAAGCATCCTGGGTAGGAAACTGTATTTGGATGTTAAATATTAGTTGACTGCAGAAGGCACATACCGTAACATAGATAGGTGAGTTCTCTGTTGGGCTTGTATTTTTCAACAGAGAAGCTGTTGAAACACTCTCAGTACTTGAATGCCATCACAGTCCTATGGAAACAGAGACAATGAAGGTATTGCTTGAGGAGCAGACTTAGTCTTCTGTACTGGAATTACAGTGGATGTATGTGACTGCATAGGAGTTTGTGATTGGACTCATTTGGCAATGTTGTGTGCCAGTTGAAATTGAAGTATGTCAACTTGATGCTGTTATGGTGCTACGAGAAACAGCTGAATTAGGAAAACTAGGTAAGTTAACCAACAGTTACATAATAGTTCAACTAACAGTCAAACTATTAGTATAGGCCTCTTATTGACTGGTGGAAGAGCTGTATCTTGTCTTAAGGAAGGCTACACCATGTTTGCCTTTCAAAAACCTAATGAGGACAAATGTTTGCAAATCCAGTATTGTTTCTTGAAATAGGTATTTATATTCACACATTGGATTCTGATGTAGAAGGTGAGCTGGTGTTGTTGAGGAACCTAGTGAGTTTGTTCTCTCTCTTTAGTCTGGTATCATCTGTGCAATGTGCGTAGACTAAAAGTGGGTAACACATAGTAGAAGGATGAAAAACAGAAGTTCAGTTGGAAGCCAAAGGGTGTTACAACAAGTAGGAGAGCTGAGGATATATCACTGTGCCTCTGTCTTCAGCAAAAGATTAACATGTAAATCTCACCGGAGCAAAGTGATAATGAGAAAAATCAGTAAGGTGTTTAATATACTGTAAAATCATAAAATGCGAGAGTTGCAAGGTTTGTTTATTATGATTATCCCCCAGTATTTAATAGCAATTTCGAAATTAAATGGAATGAAATATCTTGATTTGTTTCTTGAAACAAGAAGGCACCTAATAATACGTATTGTTCAGATGTGAGGTATGCAGAGATGTTTAAGTAAAATACTTTCTTTTCCTTTTAGTAAAATAAATAAATACTGTGACATCAGTACACAGTGATTTAAAGTATAAAGACAACCTAAGAGTCTAACAGAATACTCTAAATAGTTGTAGCATGTTAACTTTTATATAACTATGTTTTGACTTTTTTTCCCTCCCAAACCTTCTTATTACTTACTGCACCCCAAGCTCATATAGCACTTCTCAAAATTTTGGCTCTTAGTACAGTCTCTTTTTCCTGAAATGGATACTGAAAACTACACTGGCAAAATAGTAAACAAGTTACTTTGTAAATGTCTAAGTTCCATTAGAAGGTGGTGTTCTTAGTTTGGACTGGGTGTGGATATAGCAGATTTGCACAAGTACTTGTGCCTTGTTAGCATAGTCTTACAATTGGTATTTTAGCCTCTTTTAAAGATGTGAAATGGTCTTTCAAAAATAATCTAAGTACTTATTGTGTAGATATTTTATAGAGATTAAGGTTTATGTATGTGTAATTATCTTTAGCAGTATTAATTGCAGTTTGTGTAAACACTAAATTGTTTGAAGAAGCTGCTTTAAGCTAGTGATCTGAGCTTCCTCTACAAAATTAAATGTACCAGAAATTTATTTTACTCTTCCAGTAGCAGCTGATGAACCGAAGAACCTATCCTGTTCTTTGTGCTGCATGGGTCAACTTTTCACTTAAAAATCCCCAACAACACTTACAGCCTAACCTTTAGCAGTGCTACCTCCTTTCTGTCAAAGTGCTGAATTCTTCTCTAGCTGTTCTTTGTCTTCGGGAAGGGATGGGGAATGCATCAGTTTTGTTTTGCTTTGTTTTGATGTATGAATACATTTTCAAGGTTTTTTACTGACTGTATAAATTACGTACAATAGCAGTGTGTGATTTGCCACAATGTACATTGTATAGCTTTCTTGCATAAGTTGCTGGAATTCTTACTGTTGTCTTTTTGTGCATTTCATAACTTTTTTGTGTTGACAAAGCAGAACTGTTATCTCCAGAAGTTTTAGTATGTGTCATTTTTATAGCTAACCCTGTGGTAAATACGCAAGTTCTGACTCAGGGCTTTTTAACAACTTAAACACGTTCACAATATTCTTCAGCACATCTTGGAGAATAGTAGAGATTTAATGACTGTATAGTGCCTTGATAGAACTATTGAATGGGCATCAGCCATAGAGTCTTTACAGGATGCAAGTATCTTTTGATTTCAGTTAATGAGTTGATGTTAATATAATTGTAATACCCCTGCCATGGGTTTATAAACTTGTATATACTTTCTGTAAAGGAAAATCATCAAATTTAGGTATTGTTAAGCTTTCTGAAACCTATTTGATTGTTGCACTGGTCATGGGGGCCTGAAGAGCATAATATTGGAATTTACAGAAGCAGCTTTTATGTCAAAGATGTGATAAAATGTTCTGAATGTGACATTTTTAGTGTGAGAGGTCATTGTCTCAACGAACGTGTAAAATACCTGCTTTACTCTGATCCAGTAAGTCTTTTATAAGAGAGAGAAAAAACTGACAACAAATCAGTATGTTTGCATGCCATTTCATAGTTAGAAAACTGTTTTGGTCTCATTTTGAGCTTTTAGGAAATACTTTCTTTGTCCCAAGCTTAGTGTCTTTATGAATGCAAACTGTTAATGTTAGAAAACAGGTTTTGCTGAACCGCAGGAACATTTTTGCTTTTGTTAAAATCAACTTTGTATTTTCAGGAAATTGTAGATTTTGTCATGACTGTTCATTGGAGAATTTTAAGGTTGCCTGTAACGATTTCTGTATGCAGATAGCATTATATAATATATAATTGCTTCCTTTAAAACTGTTTAGCAAGGTCTAAGTTTTTCAGAGGAAATGCTGATGGTTAATAAAACTTGTCATATAAGATGTATACTGACTCTTTCAAAAGCTTTGACTTGAAAGTGTAATTGGACCGAATTAATACTGATTTTTGTGCACACAGCAGTGGGAAAGGAGTGGTGGCTCATTTGTCTTCCTCCTTCTTGGTTGTAGTGATGTTAGATGTCACCATGGAATTAGAAAATTGTATGCTTGAAAGAATGTTTGTGAACTCAGTTACTTGTTGGCATACAGTATTTAAAAGTGCATCAGACTTTATTGAGAAAGTTTGCAATCCAAACTTTTAAAAAAATTTGCTGCTTCTTTATCTCTGAAGAGTTTATAGAAGCATCAGAAGTGCTACGTGCCTTTGAATCTCCCATACACTCAAACGTTGTTAAAGCAGCACAGTAGAATTGTGAAGGGTGGATTATGTTGTAACAACAAAAAGGTTGATTTAAAATTTTTATGTGTGACATATGTGCAAATTTTTCTGTAAATATGCAGTTCATAGTACTGACTAGAGCTGCTGTTAAGTGTATGTTAAATTCTGTGTTTATGTGTAATTGAATGGCCTTTCCAGATCTGGCTACGTGAATGTGATCATTTAAACATCTGCCAGATACAGTAACTTCCATATTCTGAGACAACAGATGCTGCATCATAGTTTATACTTCTAGGATTCAATTTAATGGATGCATTTGAAAGTGTATGTAATCAAAGGCATCAAAACCAACCTAACTTAAGTGACTTAGTGTTTTAATTTATCATAGTGTACAGGTGAAAAAATGAACTGACAGAATAAAAACTTTGTTGCTCTCTTTCTCAGTTTCTTTTCATTTTTCAAGATTTCTTCAACCTTAGTTTATATGACAGGTACATATGAAAAGATAGTATTTTTAGATACCTTTGAAAGAACTTTATTTTTAAATAATTAATGCAAATTGTTAAAATATGTTTTCAGCAGCCACTTGTTCTTTGCTTTGGGATTTACAAGCTGCTCACATACTTCTCCATACCTATTCATTGAATGTGATGGGAACAGTGTTGGCACTGGGTTAAGACTTGGTCTCTGTGGTCTGTAGGGTTTCAGCCCCTGCTGTTGGTTGCAGTGGAAGCTGCTGGTTTTGCCAATGTTTGATATTGATGGGTTTAGATTTTGAGAAAGCTACTTCATACTGTACAATATAAATAATAATTATCCAATTATAATGTAAGTACTGTGTAATATAATTAATCTCTGTATAATGTGCTTTCCTGTTCTAACTCATTCCAGCTATATCCCGTATGCAGCTGTGTGTGACAGGGGTAGTGAAAGTCCATGGAGATTTCCTTTGGATTTAACATTTAATGAAATGCAGAGGGTAGTTCCTCATGGGTGCACTCTGTTTTATTTAGGGAAGAAAGGTTAGCAGTAGTATTTGAATAAGAAGCAATAACCTTCCTTTTCAGACTTGTTTTTCCACCATATGGAAAGATAATTTCAGTTGTCAGAAACAAAATTGTTGAAGATCTTGTGCTTCGTGCAACCCTGTTCATGGCAACACAGTAGCATGCATTGGAAAGCTTTTACTGAATCGAATCAGCTTTTCTTGATTCTTACTAGAAGGTTTTGGCTAAAAATACTTTAGGAGTCTAAATACTTTGTTCGTTTCTCAGGAATGAGAGTAGTATGTCCTTGCTTTCCAGGAGATAATAAGTTTTTTGGTTTTTTAAAAAGTAGTCTTTAGGAAGTGATGCTGTGATAGATTAAAATAGTTTAAGTTACGTTAAAAATTGAGAGCTGTGCCTACTGGTAATGTATAAATTTTAGTCTTCAACAGTACAAGACTTTAAAAGTCAGTGCAGTATCTATTATGGTTGGGATTTGTTGACGCTTACTTGAATGCCCTAAAGAAGCTAGTAAAAACCATGAATTTCTACAAAATCGCCTAAAATCAGGAGAATACACTTGTGACACTATAACACCGTTTCACTTTTTTCTTAAAAATAAATGTGTGGGAGGAGACAAACTTAATTCTGAGCCGATTTCCCCAGTGACGCTTGTGCATCCTAAGATGTATGAGTATTTCTCCCACAAGGGGTCAGTAGCACCCTCCGTTTGAGACAAGTTTTTATTACAATTTCAGCACAAAGTAAACAAGGGATAAGGATAATGATGATTGCATTAATAAGTGGGTGGACCAGACCTCACTTGTCCCCTTCTTCAAGCAGCCTAAGTATGATTAGCTTATTTGCTGACTTCAGTAAGCACCATATTCTATCCTCTGACTCTCATGTGACATGAACATTGCTACTATTGATTAGGGCAAAGTTCCAGTGGAGTGTTTGCCTTTAGCTCTAGTTGAAAGTATTCATTTAGTCTAGCTTTTTTTTCAAAAGCATGCAGTGGAAGCAGAAGAGTTATATGAGAGAGCTCATCCAGCAGGCAGGAGAAAAGAATTCTTGTATGAGTGTCCAACATATTCTTAATGATAACCACACTCTCCCTAGATGGCTAGAGCTGATTAATATTTTCCACCCTATAGTAACACAGCTTATAGTTAAATATGCTTTGAAGCCTATCAGTCTGCTCAGTGGAAGGAATGTCCAGCTTCTCAAGGCTTCCCTGAGTATGCAAGTTACTTGAAGGCAGAAGTTTGAGGTAACTCCTTATCTTTCTACCAAGAGGCTGAACAGACAGACAGCTCTTTCTTTCAACAAAAATTTCCAGCCCTTGTACTGATGTTTCACAAATAGGAATCTGAGGTGGTCAGTGTTGTTCAGGTTGGCACAGGTTCTTATACTTGCTGAGGTAGCAAGGGGCCTTCCTTAACATTGTGTTTGCGAGTTGTTATTCTCTGTTTCTCGTCTATTGTGGGGTTTGCATTTCATGTCCTCAGAGCTTCTGTCCCCACTGCTCAAATCCTCCATTTCAATTCTTTCTATATCTGTATTTTTGATAGCAGAACTGTGTCCCTTCCTTCTTGGTGTATCCCTTCTGAATGTCATTCTGTCCTCCTTTACACTGGGGTTGACACAGTGCTTTGGCATAAGCACAGTGGGGACCTATCCTTGTATCTGACTCCATTCTTAATGTCATGTACTGATAGGAGGAATTCCTGAACTTGGTCATAAGAAAATTTCACATTAATTTATTGATATACCTTATTTCTCTTTATTGACAGTATAAGAAAGAGGTTTTGGCCACCACCAGAGGAAAGGGTGGGGACACTTCTTTTGGTCTAGTTACAAGTGTCCTCAGCCACATGAGGAAATTCAGAAACAAATGTTTCAGGGTTGTTTGGTTTTGGCGTTGTCTTTTTTTTCCCATAGGCTTCCTGAAATTTTCATTTTTGCTGTATCTTGGACTCAGTTTTTGGTGACAACTTAGGGAACATTTCAGAGAAAGTCACTCTAAATGGAAGTTACTGTCTTCTAGTCACGTGCATCTTGCCCACTTACACTGACCTGAGGAAGTTCTGGGTCTGGTTTGAGGCTTCTTGCTGCCTCCATAAAGAAGGGAAAAAATTCTGCCTCTTTGAATTAAATTAATCTGAAACCACATTCCAAGTAATACTTTTCTACTAAGATTCCATAATCCCTTCTGTGCATATACCTTACATTTTTAAGGTCTCATGATATTCTATATGAAAGCTATATAAAATAAATAGCAATTATACAGTATTTCCCAATGGGCATGTCATATAGTTTGTGGACTTTGAAGTACAATGCTATTATTCTTCCTTTCTTCTTTTGTCTTTGTGAAAGACCTGTAAAATAAAGACTACCTCAGGTCTATCTAGACCAGGCTGCTTTTCCTAACACAAAGGCCTTGGGTTGTTGGAGCCTTACAATTCAAAGCATCATGGTCAAGGGTTTTGACTGTATTTTTCTGTTCTATAGCATATGGCACATAAAGCACCTAATTAATATTAGTCTGGGGTTTTAGTCAGGTGATTTTGATTCTATGTAAGGCTGAGGAAGCCTTCATGTCATTATTGTCCTTTGAAATATTCTCCCACCGCTTCATGTGGAGGACATAGTCTGGAAGCACTTCACACCTTTTTGTTGGGATAGAAAAGTGTATTAGTGTAAGGGCATGGGGAAACCTAAAGCTGAAATAGATCCAGTTCTTCTAAATTTTTTCAGATGGCAAATTGACTGGGAGAAGAGTGATCTACTAAAGCTAAGGAATTCTAAATTCTTCTGTTCCCTCTCCTGACACCTTGTAGGATGGATACATTGAACCCTGCTGTAATTAACCCTGCCGCCTCTTGCATCTTGTAGGTCCCACAACCCTGGCTATGTCCCTCCACCTCAAATCTCCCTGGAGTAATATGTTCTGTAGTTAAACTGGAACTATTCCACACGTGGAGGAGGAAGGGCATGGGAGTTAAAAGCCGGTCCCTGATGCATAAGTTAGGGATCTGCTGTTCTGTTTGACACAGCTCTCTTCCTGTGACACACACAGAGGATGTAACGGGGTAAGTGATCTTGACTTGGATTTACTGTGAACTATGGCTGTCTGCACACAGGCAGCAGCATAAAAAAGCTGCTGCAAATCAACTACTCACTAATGAGCTGTGTGAGGTGCTTGCCCTGCAGCAGGCAGAAGTTGGGAGCCACTTATATTTTAAAGTGTTGCAGCCAAGTAGGGTTGAGTGGGCCAAGCCCTCTGGGCACCTACCTGTCCTGAGCTGACATTGCTTTATTAGTAAGTGGCATGGAAATGAATTAGATATGAAAAGCATATCTTCATTAACAAGATTTGGATACCAGACATTTAATTTTAGGCTTTATCTGCTATCTGAATCAAATGTTGACGCCAAGGTTTGGCAAGCAGTTGTTGAGCACTCCAGGAAAAGTTAGTCATTGGCTGATTTCATAGTTTTGCTTTTGCAGGAGTTCTCGACTTTGAGGACATAGTCAAATAGTCTTCAGGAAAGAAAAAAAGCATCTAGACAGTATTTCAGAAGAGAAGTATCCTTTTTTTTTTTTTTTTTTCAGCTCACTGTACCGGATGGGAACTGTGCCTAGTTTTTAATTTCTCTTGCCAATTTTCATTTAGCCAAAAATGCTGCCATATTTGCTACTTGCTCTCTGGATTAGCCAAAGTCAAAATATATCCCATGTGTCTGTCCCATCTCTTGCTGACCACCGCAGTACCTCTCCCCAGAACATCCTTCCACAGGGTGCGAGTATGCACTTTTGGGGTTATAGGAGAGCTTTTCAGGACAAGGAGAGGAATTTAATGTTCATTTGGTCTGATCTTTTTCTTTCTGAACATCTTCAAATATCAAATGTAGAGATGCCTTCCTTTTTTCTAAATGGCCTGGAATTTTTAGAAGAAATAAATGGTATCATTGCTTTGTCTGGAATTCTTGGATTTGGCATGTCCTTTCCTAAAAAATTAAGCCTGATTGTTTTATCAGGTACAGGTGTTTAACCATTAAAGTAGCTAGCTCTGCTTATAGGAATATTAATAGAGGTGAGCTGGATCTGGTAGATTTTTCTAGGGAGCCATAGGTAAGGGCTTAGCACATCCTAGGTTAAGCTTTTCCCTGTCATGGCCAAATGTTAACTTGGACAATGCTGTGTGACCTGCTGTGTCTGAAGGGTAGATATAGCTTAAGGCATCTTGATGGTACAGTAGTAGCTAGCACTGACAGCAGAAGTGCAGTGCATCCATGATAACATAAGATTTTTCAAGAGTTGGTGCATCTGGCTTTTCTGGAAGGGTAGCCTAAGGTGAGGTTGGTAGGTACCACACAGAACCTGGACATAGCCCACTGCATGGTGCTCGGTACACTTAGTTCAAAACTCTAGAACAAGATTGCTAAG